AAGGAGAAGGAGAAGGAGAAGGAGAAGGAGAAGGAGAAGGAGAAGTCAATGTGTTTCTTCATGTTTAGCCATTATAATAGTCTAACTTAGTGTAGGTAAGTTGGCAGGCTCTGCCTTCAGTCGTCTTAACCAAAGCCATTACAGAATTCAGTGGCTAAGCAGCACAGAAATGAAATAATTCCTACTTCAGAAGGGTCCATATCCATGTAATCCTCCTGTAGCAGATTTTTGGTGTACTGCCTTTTTACTAAACACTAAACAAAATGAGTGCATTTTCTTAAGGACCAAGACCACCTTCTGTGGTCCAATTTCCTGGAAGCAAACAAAGAATGTAGAAGTGATGTAAGGAGACACTTTTAAAAATACTTTTTTTTTTTTTTTTTTTCCAGTCATTCTCAAGTCATCCTTTAGGATTTGGCATTTATACCACAACTTAGACTAGCTAAACATTTTTTCAGGTCTTTTATTTTTCTGCATATATGTATGTGACAATAAAAGTTAGCTGACATTCTTTTTACTTTCTTTCTTCATTACAACCATAACAATACCTAAATGAGCATGTATTCCCAGTTAAGTTTATTGGCTTAGGGCTTAAAGTTAAGCACATGGTGAAGTGCCTACTTGTATTTTTATCCCCAGTAATGAACAGAATTCAATATCATTCCTAAGGTACTGACTTCTTAATTATGGGGCTGGAGAAATCTTACAGAACTAATGGTCATGACATTTCCAACTCCAATTTTCCTGATTTTAACTTGGGGGGAAAAATGAAAAAAAAAAACAACAAAACAAAACAAAACAAAAAACATCCCCAACAACAAACCCCCCCAGAATTATACATAGACATGTACACTTTTGGTCAATAAAAAAAAATAATTAAATACATTCCTCTGACACTAGTAGTTGGATGAAGGATATCGAACAAATAAATACTTTTTTTACCAGAGGTTTTTGCATGCCTTGATGAGTTTTAGAATTGGTCAAATAATATTTTTTATTGAACGGACTGTGTAGCCAATATATTACTATCTCATGTTACTCAAATAACTGAGTTGTTAATAGAAAAATATATATTCTCTTATCAGCTGCTTTTACATTTGGAGAGTAGGGTTAAGGAGGCCTTCTTTTGGTAGAGCTGGGGGAAGTGATCTAACTGGATAGAATACAATCCTATTTCACATGAAAATTTCCAGCATGATTTCCAGTAAGTGTCGCTTGTTGGTCTGTCAGACCCTACTCTTTGTTCTTGAACCACTTGGTGAATTCAGTCAGGGGCAAAAATCTTAAAGCCACTAAGGGTCTGCAAGGTACGTGAAATGGCATCAGGTAGAGGGAGATATGAGAGGTTTCCTGCCAGTAGAGATGGCTATGCCATGAGCATAAGTTGTGTTAAACTCATAAGAAATCTATTTGGGAAAAAGTGTTTAGAAATACCTTTCCAACAGGGTAATCTTCAAAGCTTACACTTTCTGAGAAACTAAATTGCCTTGGAGATAGAAATCTGTAGGAAACCTACCTATAGTTTTAATCTTCACAGAAGAACTTGTTTCTAAGAGAAACATTTGGGGGAGGAGGGGATAGGAGACATATACCCAAAAGCAAGCTGAACACAAGACAAACATGGCAATATTCTTTTTTGTTAAATTAGCTGATGCTGAGTGATTAGTATTATTGTTCAACTCAGCTGTTAACTCTTAGCTGATTTCCTGGTGCTTAATTTCCAGATAATTTCAAAGAGATTTATGCATGATCTGAGAGTTAAACACAGATTTAAATGCAGTACTGACACAGGCATTGTATAGGCATGTATTTAATATGAAATATACTCTGAATCCAGGCTTCAGCAATATCTTTATGCTGAAGTGGAAGATATTACTCATATACCTATAGATCCCTGCATCCGCCAGCACCATGTTGAATTGCAGTGTAGTGAGGGATTAAGTACGTGTCTTATCCGTGAATTTGCCAAGTGGGTGAGACCATTGACTTCTGGTGGTATTGAAAGAAGCCTCAATCAGTTATTTGCTTCTCTTCTGCATCTGGCTTGGCGATGAGTCAAGAAGAACAACAGTGCACATTTCCTATTCATGTATTATGCATAATTTGCTTTGAATACCTTGTTTATTCTAACACAAAGGCTATATTTTAATTTGATATTAGTACTATATTAGTAGGAAGACATGAGAATCGAGTATGTTATTCAAGTATCGAGCCACAGATTAATAGAAAAGAAATTTTTAAATGGCTTTGAAATGCCTGCATTGATAAAGCTATATCCATTATTCTTTTCTCTTGCTACTAGGGTAGAAATAATAAATATTTTAACAATCCAAAAATAGATGGAAGTAGTAAGATTGAGTAAGCAGAAACTGTTTGTCAGGAGATTAGGCTTTAGTTGGTAGGATTTAAATACGCCTGGCATATCAAAGCAATGTGACAAGCCAGTATTTTCATAATATTCTGTGTCTACCTCATAACTTGTTGTGAAAGGCTGATGATTGTTGCCAGCTTGCTTTGCTCTTATTAATATTTTTGAAGATAAGAAAGTGAAATAGCTCCATTTCAGGAATTAAGTCATTTCTTTGTGCCAAATTACTGACAGAAACTCTTGGTGAGGGAAGATAAATTAGAGGTCTGACTGCTGTGCCACAAAAAAAGAAGTCAACATTGCCTGAAAGGAATCTTGCTCTTCAAGGTGGTGTTAACTCTTTTCACATTGCAGATGTGAATGTCAAGTGGGTTTTCTGCTGTGAATTCGTATAATAAGAAATAGATCAGACCATTGAACTCAGGCACTGTTGTAGTCTGATTTTGAAAGCCAGGGATAAATTTAGGAAAGGGGAAGTCAGAAGAACCAGCAAGTTTAACATGCAGACCTTAGTCAATATGGTAACATAAGCTATAGAACATTATGTGCTACCCACCTCTAATGGGATATTTGCCTTCTTATCTTTGTCATTAGTTATTGCAGCTTCCTCAAAACAACACTTGCAATCCCCTCCCCTCCCATCATGCAGACTGTATTCAAATTCCCAGCAAATAGCTCTCCATCCACCTCCACTTAACTCAAAAAATTAGCCTTTCTTATGGGTCCAAAACTCCTGCTGAGGCCCTTACCCAGCACAGCAACAACAGTAGTCTCCTGGTACACCTCACATAGACCAACTTTCTCCTGATCAGTCCTGGCCAAGACACTTCTGTCTGCTTCTTGCATTATTCCTTTGACCTACACACCTGTGATGTAATGCTGGTTCTTCATCTGCTGCAGAAAATACATGTGTTTTCTTACTTAGACAAAGCCCTTTGCTGTTTATTTGAGCTCTTCCTATAAAGAACCATCTCCTATTACCACATTGACCTGTGCATTTGCTCTGGCAGCGAGACTGGCCCTTGTGCATTCTGTGTGATGGACACATGGGGCCATTTTCCATTCATCTCACTTACAAAACCCTTCTCAGGGCAGTTGTCCCCAGTACTCTGTTCTCTGATGCCATCAGTTAGAAAGTGGACAGTGTCCATCTGAGGTTTCAGATACTCTTCTGCTCTTGTCCCATGTTACTGCTTGTCTGGTTACTTTTTACCATCTTCTGTATATTCACCTGGCATTGGGCTATTTTGAAACTCATATTGACACACATGATCTGTGACTGCAGCTTTCAAAGTGTGCTGTGAGACTGTGTCAACATATATCATCTGATGGCAAATACCACTGGCACATGAAGGAAGTGACATAGAAGTCACAACCAAGATAAGAAGTGAAACTTTTTATTACAGATGAACACAAAAAACAGCCGTCAGCTCTTTTGAAAAGGAGTCACTGCAAACCTTCATCTCCTCATCCTGAACTAATTCTTACATTGCCTGTAGTTATGGGCCAGTCCTTCTGCATCACTTTGCACACCTTGTTGTAACTGTTTCGGGTGAAGGCTGTTCTTCAAATAAGACAAGGCCCTGGATAGGCATGGTTGAGACCACAGGCAGGAGTTCATTTACTTATGAAGAATATGTTAAAAATTGGGGAGTGTAGTCCTTTTCTTTTCCAGTTTAAATAGATACAACAGACATCAAAAGAGGACTCAAAATCGCTGGGAACACATGTATTAAATAGCTGTTTACTGGATGTTGCTATAATTCCTACCATATCCTACAAAAAAAAAAAAAAAAAAAAAAAAAAACAGAAAATATATAAATATATCCTATATACACAAGCAAAGCAACACAGCTGTCTTGTAAGCAGGGATTAGTAGCAAGACACTGTTATAGAAACAGTACACATTTTCCCTTGGGAAACTGTTAAAACCCCATAAATTCAGCCCAGTCAAGGCCACAGAGAAACAATGTTCTGCTTATGCTCATTTCCATTTCTAGTTGCTGAGATCGATAGTTTACAAACCAGGTTTCTATACATTCTCCATTACATTTAAAAACTACAAAGGTATTGGATCAGAATCCTTATTCCCACTGAAAAAAAGAAGAACTGACCCAAATGCATTCCTCTCCACATTTGCATTTTTCTTTCTCCCTTACGTGGTTAAACCAGACTACAGGAAGTTTTTTTCACTCTTTAATGCAAGTGCATAATTGATGGAGCAACACTGTAATGAAGTACTTTAGAAAGGATTTTAGCAGAAAAACACCAGAGATTCATCTTAAACTAGTTTAATCTGAACAGTTCCATGACAACAGCTGGGGACATAACTTCTGGGACATGTGGATGCAAATTCATACTGGAAGATAAGATTCAGTGAAATCCATGAGTTGCAGCTGCTGTGTCTGACACAGACACTACTATATCTAGCAACATCTTTTTACATCAGAGGCAGAGTGAGCCCTAAGATAAGCAGCTATCCATCTGTCTCATGGCAAACTGCAGCTGGATGTTAGGTGGCAACTGAATTCTTCACCATTCAACTTGCATTTTCTTATTAATGCAAGACCTTTTTGTATTTTTTCATACTGATTCTGCACAGTTCAGATGCCCCATTCCCTCCCATACTCACCTGTGATTGCCAACTGTGTAACAAAGAATGTCATTCGAGATTTCCGCTTCCTCCTCCATGTAGAGAAGAGCACAATGGCATTTCCAGCAATTGTGACAATAAAGAGGATCCAAAGAGTTACCAGCTGCTCTGTCTGCATTAGAAAAAAAGAAAATAAAAAATCATACAAGTAGGTGAGTGGGTAGTGACTACAATTAAGCCAGTCAGTTAACCTAGGACAAACGAGATAAGAAGAATTAATATATATGCATATAGTCTATTATTTTATTTGCAGTGCCTGCATATTACTTCTGTATTCACAAAGCCACTATCACTATTTATGTTCTGCACTGGATGCTAAAATGAGAGGCAGACTTCAGTTTTCTCGTGTTGCCCCAACAAGCTGTGAAATAACCAACTGCCTTACCTTGTAAGGAATATTGATAGATGGGCTCTTTTGGAGAAATGGGGGAAATAAATACTTCTCTTCCTCACAGCTGCAGTGAGTACGGGTCATGCACAAACCCTATAAAATTCAGACATCCACTCCATGATCTAGATGTGCAACAAGTTTGAAAAGCAAGCATGACCCACTGCAAGGAAAAGTAAAATTGCATAGCAAGCAATACGTGAGGACAAAACGTCCCCTAGTGGTAGTGTGCACAAAGAAAAGAAGAAAAACAGTTATGCACATTCTCAAAGCATCAGGATCCTCTGGCTGCAAGAACAAGGGTGTACATATGCATGATTGCTTGTTTTGTGTGAGTGCATACACAGTTTTCTCCCCCCCTTTTGGCCTACCAAAAATGATTTTGTCTTCTCTAAATGCAGATTAGTTATTTTCCAGTGGCTATTCTGTAGGTTTCTTCTAGATGTGTGAGACTGCAAAGTTCATTTTCTCCATATCAGCCAGCCAGCTTTGAGAAGCACTGAGTCTGGTGAGCGTGGGGTCAGCTTGGAGAAAATACTCTGTATTTCTGCAAAATTGTCATTTACAAAACCTCTCTTGTGTAATGCATGTAGTGTCATGGAGGAAGATAGTTCTACTGCTCTTCTGAAGGCACTTTTCACAGCAACAGTTTGGAGGGCACAGAGCAGGGGAATGCAGTAAAAAAAATCCTGAAGTATCCAGCAGCAATAATATATACATTGTTATTATAGTCAGTGAGAGAAAAAATACACATATGGCTCAGTAGAACCAGTAGCCAGCATCCATAGTCCCTCATTTACTGGAAAGCAAGCTGTGGCCCACAGTCCTCAGCCACCTTTGTTCCAGGTAGGTGGTGATGGTATCCTGTGAGTTATGTGGGTGTGCGGGAAAGGCAAGATGCAGTGCATGAGCAATTCAAGGCTGCGCTCTCTAAACCCAGGGATTAGTCTAAGTGCACAGTGAAGGCTATGTTTAGATGGTTTCACTTTTCCCAGCATGATAACTTTTGTCGGTATAATCTGCCATTAGGGCCACCTCACCGAACTTTAAAGCTCTAAAGAGAGACAGCTACTCTAAATGGCTTTTGTAGTCTGGGTAATGGCCGTATCTCAGGCATGAGTCATCATCCATCTCACCTACCCTGGGATGGCCTGTCTCCACTGATTATAGACTCACCTACATAAGACAACCAGTGTGGGCTGAATGCTTAACTTTTAGATGAAGAAACAAACAAAAAAAAAGCACCCATTTTTCATGTCTGCATGTCCCTTTCAAAACAATCGGGACAGCAATGGTGAAATTACGCTTATACATTTTGTGTTGTACGGAAATTGGAAGGGGGTATATATTTGGAAGGTAAATACAGAAACAAGCAATCAAACAAACAAAACCTAAGATTTTATATCACATTTGTCCTTGAAATCAACATGTTCTCCTCAGGGTTTGGTTTGTCTTTTCTATTTCAAAACAGATCTTTAACGTGTGAAGATCTATGGGACAAGACTTGCTCCCATTTTCTGTGATATAAAGTCAGGAGAACATTTTCTTGAAAGAAATTCAGTATTCCTATAGTATACTGATAAGGATATATTTATATTTATATTTATATTTATACTGATAAACAACCGCCACCACCAGGAGACCAACACAAGTGTCACTTTTTTCTGCTCTGACCCCTCCGCTGTACCCAGCTGCTGTACTATGTCCACTTCAGGGCACTGTGCTTCAAGAGAGGCATAGGGCGATGAGGTGACAGCATTCTAGAAGATATAGCCAGGCAAAAAGACTGACCAAATTAAATTACTTAATCTAGGAAAGAGCTGACTGCAGGAAAAGACAAGCATAGCCTTTAAGACACAAAAATATTGCTGTTAAAAAAAAGGGGGGGGGGGGGAGGGGGGGGTGGGAAGGGAGATTATCTCTTCAGATTCACTGCTTATTGGCCAAAATCAGTGAACCAAAATTAATTTACATTATTTTGACTTACAAATATACGTGAATTGATTGAGTCAGTGAAACCTTCATCTATGAAAGCCTTAAAAGTAAGCCTTAGGTTTGAGTTATAGCTGATTGATCCCTAACTTCAGTGCAGCTGCATTTTCTATAATTCTGTTTTATTCATCACACTGAGGTTGCTTAAACATAGAGGTTTTATTTCATGCCATGTTTGTTCATCAAGCAAAAATTCTCTTTTTGTAACAACCTTCAGCAAGGTGATTTAAAAAAATGCAAAAAAAAACAACAACAACAACAAAACAAACAAACAAACAAAAAACATTATTTAATAATATCTCGCACAGACATCAAAGGTATTTTGAATAAAAAGAAAGATAATAACGTCTCCCAGGTCCCTTGTGTAAAAGCTTTCAGTGAGGGCTGCTTTTGCAATGGGCATTACTAATTACATTACACAAGAATGCTGTGAGGGAGACTGGTGTCATCAAGTAGTACTTTTAGATTAGAAAAACTAAAAATGCTGGTGACCTGGTTAAGGTCACAGAACAAATCAAAGTCGAGAGAATTTCCTTGGCTTGATTATAAGAGTTGCATATGCTACTATTCCACAAAACTGTTGTTTGAAGCATAGAAGTGCTTGACATCTGGAGCACATATTTGTGTTTTTCTAATTTGCTTTAAGATTAAAACCAGCTTAAGTCAATGAAGCAAGCCTCTTCATGGGTGAAATGTAAGCCAGAAAACCTGGCTGAAGAGTGTGTGCATTTTCCTTTGCTTGTAGAAGTGGTTTGTTATTTTGCCTCTGAGAAAATTTCTGAATTCATAGGCTGCAATAAGTCTAGCCTGAGGTGTATTGTGCTTTATATTTGCAACAAACTCCATCCGTAAGAGCCTTGTGTGTCATTCACTCATGGTTCATGTACCATCCCAGGGCAGAAGGGATCCGTATGGGTTGTAGGCATTTGTTTTATTATAATATGATTTATATTTATCTTGTACCAATGACAAAATTCACCTATGAAATCTGCCTGCAGGCTCTCAGTGTTGAATCTTTGACTTACTGTAGTGTAGGGGATAGTAATGGAAAGTGTTTAACACCATTCCTAATGAGACTGGCTGGTCCCTTAATGTAAGGTGAGAATGCTTATAGCAAATTCAAGTCCCCCTGACCTGCTGCCTTCCTGCTCTGTGTTCTTGGTCAGTTTGGTGAAGAGGCACTGATCCCTCTTATCACAGGCGGGTAGTGACTTATGTGTCTGAGCACCTTTTTCTTGCTTGCTGGTTAAGATCTGTGAATACGCAAACAGCCTGACTGCTTACCTTTTGTTTATTTAAAAATAATGTTACAGGTGTAACCTACTGCAGCAATTGAGATGTAATCATGGAGCAAAGCAAGCAATTTCACAAGGAACATGCTCTTAACATGTAAAAAGAACACATAAATCTGCTTGTTAAATTGGGGATTGGGGAACTGGTATGCTCAAGATGGTGTTCACCACTAGTAGATTGCATTGCACTTTCCTAAAGGAAAAAAAGTAAAAGTCTTTTCTCATCCTCTGAAAAAGTCACTTTAATTACAGACCAGGTAAGCAAATGGATGACTCTAGGTTTTGCATTACTTTGATCCTGTTATAGATCTGGAGTACTGAATTTTGAATACTGAAAATACATTGGACATATTTGTTATTTTGGCTGCCTTCACTTAGGGTGGAACAAAAAAATGGGGAAGGGAAGGGAAGGGAAGGGAAGGGAAGGGAAGGGAAGGGAAGGGAAGGGAAGGGAAGGGAAGGGAAGGGAAGGGAAGGGAAGGGAAGGGAAGGGAAGGGAAGGGAAGGGAAGGGAAGGGAAGGGAAGGGAAGGGAAGGGAATTAGTTTTCCTGAGGCAGATGGGTGCAATGCATCTTGACTGATTCCACTTGGGGATTTACCATCTGTTTACCTCTAAGATAAATTGTACTTTTGACTGTAACATTGAAAGAGATCAAAAAAAATACTGGCTCAAAACTTGGTTCAACTTCATTAAGGAGTCTAAAAGGTATTGGTACAACCTCTGACACAATTCATAATTTGTAAAAAAATATATGTTAAAAAAAAAAAGAAAAAGAAAAAGAAAGAAAACCTCTGTTCCACACTGCCAGAATTCTACACAGCAGAATCATAGAGGAGCTCTTGGCCTGGATGGGAAAGAGGTGAGGCTGTTTCACTGCTGCAGTCTTTTATCTATTAGGAGAAGATGGACCCAAGGGAATGGAATGAAGCTGCAGCAGGGAAGGTTCAGGCTGGATATTAGGAAAATATTCTTCACTGAGAGAGTGGTCAGGTACTGGAACAGGCTACCCAGTGGAGTGGTCATGGCATAGAGCCTGTCAGAGTTCAAGAAATGTTTGGACAACACTCTCAAGCATAGGGATTGATTTTGGGGGATTGCTGTGTGGAGCCAGAAGCTGGATTCAATGATCTTTGTGGGTGACAGACAACCAGGTATATTCTTTGTTTCTAAGATGGTATTCATAATGAGAAGCAACAAATGGGAGATTTGTTGAATGTGTTCCTGTTTGAACACAGGACATTTTGATTAGATATACTGGAAAAAAAAATCAACATGGGAATAGTGAAATACTGGAGTTGGAGAACAGGGAAGCTATGGGATTTCCATCTCTGAAGATAGTCAGAATATGAATGGACACCAGAGCAAGCTGGTATTGTTTAAATTATCTTTTGAGTGGTCAGCCTAGGAGACCTTCAGAAGTCCCTCCCAACTTGAATTA